TCCTCCTTATATCCAATCTAAACTTCCCCTCTTTAAGTTTGAACCCATTACCCCTTGTCCTATCACTACAGTCCCTAATGAAGAGTCCCTCCCCAGCATCCCTATAGGCCCCCTTCAGATACTGGAAGGCTTCTATGAGGTCTCCACACAGCCCTCTCTTCTCCTTCAAGGGACATGAAGAGAAGTCCCTGGGTACTGATACAAGGGAAAGCAAGAATTGAGTATTCTTATTACTAAATGAAAGAAGGGGCCTCAGCCTCATTGCTACTGAATGCAACCACATTACAGCTTTTTGATTATTAATTCCACCAACTAAACCCACTTCTTGGCAGATAACTCCTAAAGGCTAAGGCCAAACGAGAATGTTTGGGAAGAAAATTTACGGATAAATTCGAAGGGTAAATCTCTGCTTGATATGTTTGTAAAATGGTCTTAAAATAATGGGCAACCATCAAGAAACATAACAGATAGGCAGAAAATACCTTTCTAGCCTTAGCAAGAGCTTCATGACCTATTCTGATGACAGTGTCCAGTCTTCCCAGCTGAACAGATCACATACCTTCTGCCTATATCTCATGGCAGGAGATTGCTACGAGCTGTGACCTTTCTCCTGACATGTAGCTAACCATACAGCATCTCCATGCTTCTAGGAAGTTTTGGTTCCATTGTACCTGCATGGGTCTGTAATTGTCCATGGGAACTGAGTCTGCCTGAAGCTCCTCTATGTTTGCATTTACAGAGTTTGGGACAGCAGGGCACTGGTGACAGACTCCATGTAACCTGTTTCTAGCTGTTAGGTTTCTTCAATATCCCTCAGGCTCCAGCACAGAATTACCTGTAGCACACATGAATTGTTGCAGTGTGACAGCTTCCTCCTGAAACCATTTCTTCTGGAAGACCCCAAGCTGCTGCACAGCTGATACCCCACTGGATGGAAATCAGCACTCGGTGCTCACTATAAGCTATAGCCCATGCAGCTCCTATTGATTGCCACTGTGTAAGTTCTTCAGTTAATGTCAGTGTTTCCATAATTGACTGTAGACCCACAAGGCTGGGATTCTTCTACAGCTCCTGAAAAAAGGCAAGGCTCCAAAACACAACAGGGTATAAAGCTCAAACATTTTACCTGCCTTGGAACATCTCAGCCAAAACAACCAGAAACAGCCCTGCTCTCCTAGCTGTGTACCAGCTAAGACCCAGCAGGCCATAATCTAACAGCTCTTCATGCAGAAGAGGGAAAGGAAGGAGTCCTAATTCTGGAATTTTTATTGCCCCTAATCTACCAGACGCGACTATCAAACCACACTGTGACACTCCTTCCTTAAACACTGGAATAAAGTTAAATTTCAACAAACGTGAGCTGGGAGGGATGGGCTGTCTCCCATGTAAAACCCTCTCACACTTTTTGCTGACATTGCTTTGCAGTTCTTCATAAACTATGGTTTGGATTAGGGATAGGAGTACTTCAGAACAATAAATGAATGCGACAGAGCAATTTTGCTGCATCATTTTTCCCCCCACACCCTTTCTTTCACTTTAGAGGAACAGCCAGGATCAATGCAGAGGGTGCTTGACTTGGCAGATAATGACCAAGGCAAAAGGTCATGTACAAAAACTTAGCTCCAAGAAAGACTCAGCTTAGCAGCTATCTCTAACTGACACTGAGGAGAGACCAGACTCAAGCACTCAGACACTCCATTTCTCTTTATCTGTCAGTGAGTTAATTGCTGCCTCTTTCTCCACCTCAAGAGATGATGAAACCAGGGTGTCCAGCTTCTGAAACAGTCACATGTACTGACACAAACTTTCCCAAATGGCCTTTCAAAGGCTGCTCTGTGGTGCTTCTTACAAAACGCATTAGAATTGTGATCTTTCTTTGCTGGCCCTAATGATAAGGCTAATCCAGTTCTGACTAAATACAGCCACAGTTTTAATACTGGCTTCATCAGGAGTGGGAATGCAGAGTTATATTTGGCATCCAGCGATGATCTACTGCTTACAAGGTCACGGAGCCTGGAATCAAGAAGAAACTGTAACTTCAAGTCACTCTCATGCTCTAAGGTTTGCTGGAAAGAAGCTTATGTTGCTTTTCAAAGAGCTGCTTTGGGGATATATTTAACCAGATCCTTGGGAAAGTCCTTCTTGTGCTAAAATTAGAATCCAATGACCCTAAAAGACAAAAGTTTCTGTAGCAGTAGGTAAAAGTACAAGCCGGGAAGCTGGTTTTTTAGACTCCTTGTCTTTATCCAACAATACACTGCCATCGTGTGGTTCAGTTTATCAACGGCAATATTAAGATACATTGATGCCATATTCGTAGGATGTTTTCAGTTTTTATTGCTTTAATTTCTATTATGTTAATAATGTACCGACTTTATGCTTTCACGGTATTTACTGGAAGTTTAAAAGAAAAGGAAACAATGGGATTCCCTTTTCAAATTAGAAGAGCTAAAAAATATTCAATAACAATATTTGAAATTAACTGCATTTCATTTGCTTTACTTTAATAGTGGCCTGTTTCTAAATGTACACCACTTCCATCCTTCCGTTTTCTTTAATTAATGCAAAATGGGTGAATTCTTGGAATAACTGTATTTTATATATACATATATGTGTGTGTTTACGCACATAAGTTTATTGCTCTCACGTTCAGTTGCTGCTTTGACTTGAGAAAGAGCATATGGCTTTCTAGTTGTTCCCTCAGTCCTTTGTTTTCTAATAATAACTTGCTGTCTTCAGCCTAAGTATTCAGCTATGGATCCCAATGGGGGAACTTCCTGAAAGCCTCTCCCCAATGGGCCAACCTCCTGAAAGCCTCTCATGTTGCTTTGCTCAGAGCTCTGGTCTTAGACAGAGCTGCACCTGAAAAGGTAAGCTCCTTAGAAGCTGAAATTAGGGAAAAGTAGTGCAAAGGAAACATTTCTTATTGCATCTGCTAATTGTTCCTTCAAGATACAGAACAGTGAGACCGTGCCTTGTCTTCCCTAACAGAGAAAAAAAGCATTATGATCACCATGAACATAACATTCATATGGGGCCTGTCATTTCCTCTGAAAAACTCATACAAGGTCACGGCTAATCCAGTGCTAAGCAGTTGGCAGAAGAAACTCACTGTTTCGTTTTCTTCCCTGGAATCTTGTTTTTAATAGCTAATCCTGCTTTAAAAAAAATCAATCCATCTGGCTTCACAGTGTTGGGAAGTCAGTGCTGTCCAGCAAGTCAAGAGTTGTAGGCAGCACTTTATTTGAGATGGTAGGGTAGGATAGAATAGGATAGAATAGGACAGGGCTATTTCACTTGGAAGCAACCTATAACAATCAAGTTCAACTACCTGACCGCTTCATGGCTGACCAAAAGTTAAAGCATGCATATTAAGGACATTGTCCAAATGCTTCTTAAACACTGACAGGCTTGGGGCACCAATCACCTCTGGGAAGCCTGTTCCAATGTTTGACCACCCTCTTGGTAGAGAAATGTTTCCTCATGTCCAGTCTGAACCTGTCCTGGTGCAGCTTTGAACCAGTTCCACATGTTCTGTCACTGCATTCCAGGGAAAAGAGATCAGTACGTCCCTCTCCATATCCCCTCCTCAGGAAGCTGTAGAGAGCAATGGGATCAGTCCTCAGGCTCCTTTTCTCCAAACTAGACAACTCCAGAGTCCTCAGTCACTCCTCACAGAAGGCTGATATGCCTCCCAGCTCCTTCACCAGCTTTGTTGCCCTCCTCTGGACCTTCACATCCTTCTTAAATTGTGGGCCCAGCACTGCACACAGTATTCCAGGTCAGGCTACAGCAGCGCTGAATACAGTGGGATAATCCCCTCTTTTGACCAGATGGTTATATTGTGATGCACCTACTATGTGGTTTGCCCTCCTGGCTAACAGAGCACACCGCTAACTTGTATTGAGCCTGCTGTGATCAGCACCATAGATCCCTTTCTGCAGGGCTGCTTTCCAGGCACTCTTCTTCCAATTTGCACCCAGTATTACTCTGTCCTAGCTACAGAACCCAGCATTTCGACTTGTTAAATTTCATCCCATTAGTCATTGCCCAGTGTTCCAATATATCTAGATCCCCCTGCAAGGCATATTGTTCCTCAAGAGAAGCAACAGCACCTTCCAGTTTGGTATCATCAGCAAACTTGCTAATAGTGCATTCCATCCAGATCACTGATAAACACATTGAAGAGAACTGGTCCTAAATTGGGCCCTGAGGAACCCCCTGATGTTCTATTTCATGCTGGTGTGGTACTTTTTAAGGATGCGCCTCCAATATGTAGGCTGTTACAGATGCAGACTCATAGCTGTGACTGCACACTGAACATGCAACAGCTTGCTTCAAAAGGCTGTCTTTGTTGTTATTCAGAAGGATTGCACCAGCATCTCTAAGGGACACTCAGCTGTTGTTTCAACTAAGCAACTTACTTGGAGAAGACAGCATTCAAAGCTCAGACCAGGTATTTGTTATCGCATGCAAATGGAAAAAGGTGTATCTGACTCAGTCATAAGTGCAATTACATTATGACCTGGAATGTCATAATGTAATAAGTAACTTTCTGATATAAAGTTAATAAAAAAATCAAAGCTGTATTCCTTCTGGCTCTTCTATATATAAACCCATATAAAAACTTGCAAAACTCATTTACATGCATAAATTTATACGTACACAAACACGTAAATTTACATTACTTTTATACATTCAGTTTCTTTTTTTCATATAGTGTAGCCCTTAGATGTCATAGTGGGGAGATAGATACACAGGAATATCCCACAGGTTGTTCAGTGTTATGCCATATACTGTATTACATCACTTTTATGTTCCACATAAAATACAATTTATAAGAAATATATAAAATAAACTTATAAATTGTATTAGGTTCCACAAAATACAATTTATTAGAAAGGCTTTCAAAGACCCTCATCCTCTCCATCTCCCCCATTTTGCTGTTTCTGTATCACTGTTTGTATGAAGTATGTGCACAGCATATGTGCACATATGTATGGACACAGCAATCCAGAGGAGGGCGTCCTATGGCTTTGTATAATGACCCGGGCTCCTGGAGTCCAGAGAGCCGTGAGGAGGGGATGGGGAGAACCAGGACACTGTAGGACAGCGTAAAATCAGGAGTGGATGCAGCACATACATGTAACAAGAAGGGAGAACCCTAAGTGAAGACACCCTACATCCATCAGGGATGAATGGATTTCCTCCTGGGGAAACCTGAGTGCTCACTACATGCCTCAGCTATGGGAGGCAGCTGACCAGCTGGAATCTGGGTGCTCCCTAGATCTACCTGCATACTGCTCCTATGTCCTAGCTCCCCGACACCACAGACTGCACCCCACAGTCTTTCACTCCCTCTTCCCTTGAAATCTCCAAGAAAACCATTCCACAGCTCTTCTAAGAGCTTTGGGGAGTTTTCTGCAGCATAACAAGTCTGGAGTGAGAGGTGAAGATTTCGACCCAAGTCAGTTGTCTCAGCTGCTGGGCCAGTCTTGCTGCAAACTCATATTTAACACTGAACCTGAGACAGTGCCTACCCGAAAGGAGATCCTGTACCTCTTATGGAAGAGGCTGGTTCAAAGTTGGACACCCTGCAGGTCATGTCATCATTAAAAACAGCTCTTCTGTGAAGAGATACCAAAATGAGCTTGAAGAAGCATCCTAAAATATGGCAAAACTTTTGGGACAGCAACCAACATAAAAAGGTGATCAGAGAACTGGAGTTCTAAAGGAAACACCTGCAAACTCTGGCCCTTCTCAACAATTTATGAGCCTTACTTTACCAATCCTGTGCCTGGGGAAGCCTTGAATAAATCATGAGTGAAGGAAACCCTGCCTCTGAATAAAGGTTCTCTTTTAATCAGTACCTTTGTAACAAGAAATTGTTCTATTAAGATCTTTCCTACAGTGAAAGAATATTTTTAAAGGGGAAAAGCTAGACATGAAAAATGCTTTGCTAACTGCTGGGAGGAGCACGTTTGCTTAAAATGGAGCAGAAGTATTTCAAATCACTCAGTGATGAAAATAAAAAATAAACAAGAGGAATGGTATATTTAAAGAAAAGTATAGTGTATCTGATTGTCACACTATTTCAAGTATAAATTATTTATAATGTTATCAACTGCCATATAACTATATTACAAAGAAATAATATTAGAGGTATTTTTAACATTTAAATTCTATTACATTTCAATGGCTTTAGTTGGGAGAGATTTTTCCTGAGGGAAAGCTGTGATAGGTTTCATGTCTTCTGCATTCTGCTGCTGTATTACTGAAGTCAATGGGAGCTTTTTCACTGAACTGAGTAAGAACAGAACTTTACAGCTCTAATCAAACGGAAGGATCTGAGGTCATCTTGATGACAGGTAAGCATTTTGAATTGCTAAATACAGTTTTCCACAACTTCTGGTCAGATGAGTGTCTCAAGGCAGTTATCAGAAGAGTAAACAGTCTCATACTCTGCTGCCCTGAAAACATACACCTCTACGTTTTCAAGGGTTTTTAAACCTGAATTTCCCATCTTGATCCATGAACTGTTACCACTGACAGTTAAACAGGTATGACATTTCATTCCTGTGATGTTTCATTCCAGAAGACCTGCATTTCAACACCAGGGATGCTGACGTTGCATCTGCAACAGAGCTTGCAAAGTGCTTCGAGTTCCTTTCACATGAAATACAGCTCAGATTTCAGATGATCAAGTTGACTGGTGTAACACACGATACACCTGGCATAGTCACTTACATCCAACCAATGAAAAGTCCTCATTCTTCCTACAGTATTCAGTAGGTTCTGCAATTTTTCTCTCAACAGGAGACAAAATGTTAGGTTAGACAACCCTTAAAATTCCCTGCTGGATCTCACAGAATGGGCAAGTCCCACCCTGTGGGGAATGCCACTTTCCAGCAGTCTCCACACATTCCCTGAAAGAGTTCAAATTCTTTACCTCAATTGAACGCGTTTCTCGTCTGGTTTGAATGGCAGCCTGAAAGGAGACACTTGAGAGTTCTTGGTCACAGACATTCTAATTGATCTCTTGGCTGCAGTATACTGTAATTTGTATGGAAATATGCATTTCTCTGTGTAGGCTGTCCTGCAGTGGACTAAGCATAGTCATGTCACCTAACAAGAGCACTTTATGAACCATAATTTTCTCTGTTCAAATTATATCTCTCAACTTAGGAGGTACATGAAGCACCTTTCCATACACACACACACAGGAGAGAACCTGTCAAAACATGTAGCTTTGATAACATTGACTCAAAACCTGAACGTTTAACAAGAGCTCTCTACGAATTAGATGGGGAAGAGCCTAAAAAATCATGTTTTCCTATGGCTAACATGTTTTCCACGCTATCTGTAAGGCAGAACGAGCTGTGGCATTAAAGGTGCACATCTCATGAGATAGGCTGGTAAGTTATGAATGCAGAAACAGACTTCTAGGAGGAAGAATTGGCAGCACACTGAGCACTTCCCTTCCTGCTCCCTATGCTGTGGGATCTGGTGCATCCCCAGCTGTGCTATAAAGCAGACCTCTCAAGGCTCACGCACTGCATCATTCTTTTATATCATACTCTGTCAGTGTCAGCACTGCACATTTTTATATGGCAGTACCATGGCTTCTCTCACACTTTTGGATCCCACACATCAGATGCAGGTGGTCAGTCTGCTCTGTGATTATCTGACCAGCTGCATCTGATGTGTGGGTCAAGGAGCACAAGAAAGGTCACGTTACTGGCGTTGCAGCTGGGGAATGTGCTGTTTAGCAGGAGCCAGGACTGACAGGAGCCCTCCTAGAAGGCATGGTCCCCTCTCAAGGCTATGTGCTGCAGGATTCAGCTCTTTAATGACTGGACATCTATTTATCACCTAACTTTGCACAGAAATGTGTGCCCCACCATGTGGAGTCTCACATATCTGAAGACCAGAAAGTTAAGAGGTCTGTCTTTTTAGTTTTCTAATGAAATATATGCAAGAGGAAGAGATAGGATGACAACTCTGAGATATGTCTGATATTTCCTCAAGAAACCTTTTGTTGACCCTACCTCTTCCCTTCTGCTATTATTGGTCTGCTCTTGAAGATACAGAAACAACAACATGAATTCTAATCTTTTAATTTTTCCTCTCCTTGATTTATAAAATATAAAGGCAATAAGGAGGTACTTATGGTGAAGGTAACACCTGTGAACTGATTTATGTTTACTTAAGAGTCTCTCTTTGCAACAATCAAAAATTACATTTCAGAAGTACGCACTTGTATGCAGTTAATTGAAATGAAAAAGGCGAATATTTCATTCTGAGGTTTTAAATGTCATCCACCCCAAAAAAGCACTGTAAACGTTTTAGCTGCTCTCAGTAGGGAAGGCCAGTGACTGACATATTAAAAGCCTTGAGGCTGCAGTTACCAACTCTGATATTCTAGATTCTTCCACAGATTTAATTCCTTTCCTCATTGTCAACCTTCCCAGGCATGTTAACAACATTCTGGTTATTCCTAACGTTTCTTTCTCCAGCCTGATTTTTCATCACTTCTAGAACTGTGCCAAGGAAGACCAAGAACTGAGAAATACCTCTATGCAGAGAGCTTCCATACAATCTTGTGTATCGTTCATTCCACGCTGATGGACGCAGCAGGCTTCTGTTGATGCACATGATCCTCTTTAGGATTCCCATAAAACTAGGAATGGCACTGCATAAACACAGGCATAATAAATCAGCACATTTTAACAATTTTCCCCACAAATACAGCCCCCCAAAAACTGAGTAAAATAATGTTGAGGAAAATATTACTGTCTATGCCTTTACAACAATTAGGATCCCACGGTTTATCTGAGAGAAAAGCTCCCTTTGGCAGAATCTTCACTGACCACTATTTGTTTAGAGTACCATATTTGTTGGAACACAGACATCTGTTTTTTAAGGCATTTAATCTTTCACTACACATGAAAACCACAGTTCTTACATGTAAAGAGGACTTCTGTTCTTAAAGATAGGTCATTCCTGTTATATTGCTTGGCTATTAGTGCAATTGCATTTATTCTTTATGTACTGAACCCTAAACATCTGCTAGGCTGGAAAATCTTTGTGCACTGTTCTTACTTCATTATATCCAGAGGTGCAAACATAAAAACACGGAAGAAACAATATGCAGTTCACCCTATCTCAAGTAATCAGACACAGATAAAATAGTAATGTTACTTGGAATGTAACTGGATAAATCCAAAGCAGACATTCTGTTTAATGTTTAAAACACTAACTCATGTTAAAACCTTTTAAATGGAATGTGTATGTTTTGCTGTTCTTCATATAAGGCAGTACACACAGACAATAAAAAGAAGAGTCAAATGCTTCAACGATTCAAAGTATATTTCAAAGACAGGTAGGGTTACCAATATCTGCCCCCAGTGTGTAAAAAAACAACATGAGCATTCAGAGAAGCCATGAATTCAGCCCATGCTTAACCTTCTATAGCAGTCTATCAATACTATTCTGCAGAACATAACATCTATCTGCTTTCTCCAAGTATTTTCCTCTCTAGTTACAGCATTTGCAGCTATGGTTGTTGACTGTTATTTCTGATGAAAGTGAAATAATAGTCATTCCCTACAGATATTATTCACACTTTCTTTTATCCTCTGGTCAAATAAATCCAGCATTCACAAGTGAAAACAGCTTTCAAGATTCCACACCAGCTCTCAATCCCTGCTTACTAGTTTCCACCCAAGAACCCAAGCATTCCTGTTCCCATAATGCCTTGATTTTATTTGCCACATTACATCCATAATATTCCACTCGCTGCCTTTGGAACAATGCAAACACTTTCACCTGTGCTACCACCAGCCACAAAAGGGGTTTGCTACACTTATTTCACTAACTCTAAAGGAACTGCACTCAGTCTTTGAAGAGATTGTACTAGTGGAGTCTGAGGCTGCATCTACCTCCTGCAGTGTACCTTCACCAAAACAAAACAGATGGAGCTAGCTTGGTATTTGGCTGTACATAAAGTTGTACCTTGCATAGAAGAAAGGCTTAGGAAATGTTAATGAGTTCTCCAGAACAAAACTCCCCTTCTAAAACCATTCCCACCAGTTCACTTCTTTCTTAGTTCTACCAATAGTTGATCTTACACATCTACTATAACATCAGTGGAAGAAAGGGATCCACATTTCCAGTCCACCTTTGAGTAATGCATCCACATTCTTTCATTTAGAAGGTAAAATATGATTGGAAATATCTGGCAGAGGAGCCGCCTTATGCAAAAATCAGTGCTTTATACATCACATTGCCTTTGTGTCCCCTGCTCTACACACATTGGAACTAAAACCACAGCAACACCCTCACTTCCCAGTCCTCAACAATCTCTCCCTTTCCTCCCCTCTCCTCCTGTATTTCTAGTAGTTTAAACAGTTCTCCCACACCAGCACAGAGGACAGGCATAAGAAAACCTCATTATTACACTGGGCAATAGATTACAATGACAACAGAAGGGGTAACTCTAACCTTACCTGGCTTCTAGATTTGCAATCATAAACAGCTTAATTTCAAGGATCAGATTATGATTCTTACTACCTTCTCATAGTAACAAAGGATTCAGATATTACATTTCTGCCTTTATTAACTGATAATCTGTGTTATTTTGGGTGCCCGGTACTTCATTTACTTAGTTACTCCAAGAGAGAATGAAAAATTTAATTCTTGAAAGGTTTCCAATTTGTTCCCTTCTCCAAATTTATTTGCTTTCATTCTGCTATTGAACGTGAAACAAGAGCAAAAAATGGAGGGACAGGGTGCTCTAATGGCCAGAATTAATTAATCCAAGAAAGAGGATATCCATCCTTCCTCCTGGCAGGTTTGCACCTCTATTTTGCTTCAGTGGACCCTTAGCAAAATCTAGACATAGATACAGGACAGGGAAACAAAAAACCCAAGAATGCAGAGGCTGCTGTTTGCTTTGGGGTTGATCCTAGCTTCCTCCTATTCTTTTCTGTTACTGTTTCAGGATAAGGCAAGAAAAGATACACAGCACATGACCAAAATTTATACTTATTATTATTTATACTTATCATTATACTCATTATACTTATTACCATTTTAAAAGAAGATTCACTCCTATTTTGTTTTTTCAATACTGTAAAGGTTGAACACTCAAGTAACCCACTGTGTTTATTCCCAGAGGGCTTCACAGAGATTTGTTAAAGATATAAAGTAACATAACAAACAACGAAAGAGCTTGTTTCCCCAACCATTTCTGTTGGAAGCTACATTGTATATGTTCCTATGCAACAAAAAATTAACTTTATGTGTAGGTGTTCCATGTTTTTACAAACTCTACACTCCTTAGTTGTTATAAGATTAAAACAATTTTCTCCCTCAGTAAATGCTTCCCCTGAAAACCACTGGAAGCACATAATTCATCTGCCCATTTATAGATTCTATTTTCTTCTAGGCACTGAGAAACTGCTGATTGTGATTGTTGTTTTCCCTTTTAAGAAGCCAATGTTGAACAAGTGACAGATAAGACAATTTAATGTTTCGGTGACCATACAGATCAATTTTTCATTTATTCTGAAGTTTAAAAGGAGGGGGGGGGGAGAAGGGAGGCAACCAAGGTACGATTGCAGGGATTTTGTTTAGCAAATTATTCTTCTGTACCCAGAAAATTTAACAGGCTGTCTCATTAAACCTGCAGGGAGTTTTAAGGTAGCTTTAGTCCTAATATTTCTCACAAAATGCATTCAAATACTTTTCCCCTGAATCATTTTCTTCTCTATGGAATCTACCAGAAAGGTTTGGAGATAAAGGACAAGTCTTTAAAAGCAAATAATAGAGGAAAGAAGAAAGAAAAGAAATGTATTACCACAAGCTGTAGAAGATCTCAATAAAAAGATAAGCGAAAAGGCAACATTGTGCAGTTTCTGTACTCGGTAAAGAAATGGAAAAAACACACATAGTTGGGAAAGTGTTTGTCTGGAAAAGGTATGGGACTGGTATCACCTAATAGCACTTACCCATTGTCATTGTAGGGTGAGGGACACCTGATTTGCTCTTTCCACCCATTTCATTTCTTCCTGGTTTTTCCCCCTGTAGACCTCTGCCTTCTGTCCCTGCAGGAAACACACGTGCCATCTGATGTGCAGCCCTATTAAGCCAGCTAGCATTATAGCATCATATGTGGGCTGGCAAAGTGTGTGAACTCAGCCCACCCCACAACGGGTCTTAGCTACCTGATAGCTGCACACTTCATACAGGTTCAAACATAAAGACACTAACCCCTGGTGCAATCTGGTGTTCCACATATAAGCGACCCTTCTGGAAAGAGGAGGGGGCCTGAGGTATATGACCTGGCTGTCCTCAGGAAGAGTAAGGATGAAGAACATCTAAGTCAGAATCTCCCTCCTTCCATTTATTCATCAGGAGACTGAACTCAGATGCCAGGACTGTCTACCTGCACCCAATCCTGCTGCCAAATAAGACAGCACTCACAGGAAGTTAATCAGTCTTCATGCTATCATCCCACAAAAGTAAAAACTGAAAGATAGTTTAGCACCATGAGTAGTCAACAGTGACACCTAAATTGCCATCAGCAATATTCAGTGTTTTCAGCCTCCTGAATACATGAAAGACATTTCAAACTTATGTCAAGGATTTTACAGTGATATCACAAGCAATCTTACAGAAGTCCTGGAGATACTATGTTGGTTTATATTCCCAAGTCCTATTGCCTTTGCAACTTTAAACATCAGGGAACCACTGTAAAACACCCCAGAATTTAAGCTTCAGAAATGTAAAAAGAGACCCTAGATATAAGCCTGGTCACTTTTTATTGTTATTATATATATATATAAAACATGAAAGCTACTAAAAATAGCCAAAAATTCCCATCTTTGTACCTTATAAGGGAACATTTTTTTCTGCTTTTGGGCTAAGTCCTGCTCATTTTACTGATGGGAAGTAGAATTTGAAATCCCACGGATGGATATATGTGAGACTAATTTAGAACGTGGGTCTACAGGTAGTAGTTTTGTCCAAGTGTTCACTGAGATTTTTCCATGGGCTTAACAGTTATTCTCATGTTTTAAAACATTACAAATTGTACACTGTATGAACGAATGTGTTTCTAGTCAAGCTTTGAAGTATAACATTTACATCATTATCAGTATCCTGTAAATAACATGCTAAATGCTAGAAGCAGATTTTACTGCCTCATATACTACTCTTGACCACTTAATTAACTCCTACAAAAGCTAATTAATTAGACATCACAGTCTCTAATCATTCTGGAATTTGCTCTATTATGTTCAGCTGGAATATTCTCTTTCCTCGACAGACCCCCTAAAGTTTAGATGAACACAATAAAGCACTCTGGGGTTTTCATTCTCATCTTTCCAGATACTCAAGATCAGGGTGAGAATATTTAGGCTGATTCTATTGCAGATTTTCCCTGTTTAACTCTGTCTTTACTGCAATAGATGTTTTTGTGAGCTTGGAAGGCTTCAACCTGTTTCAGTGCCAGGGTTCTGATATTTAAACTAATGCTGTCAAAAAATGCTTCTTAAGAAGTCAAGAAGAATTCCAGCAGCTTAACTCAATGACTGCTTACTGCTGATACATCACAACTTGCATGCCACACGCACAGGTATTTTATGAAGCAACTTCTCACTTAAAAGTTGTACCTCCAAGATTATTAATTGTTTTGTCAACAAGATGCAGCCAGTCTGTAAAGTCAGCCTGTCTCGTGCTGGAATGAAAGTCCCAATGAGAAACAAGCTGATAAATTGGTTTGGCTGATCATTAAAACCCATCGAGTATAATCGTTTTAGCTGATCTCGTTTAAGTCATTCCGTGAAGCTGCCAAGAGAGTTCAGGGACAGGTCGATCTTCTATTCGCATCATACAAGGATCAGGCAGATAAAATCCGATCAGTTACCTGAGCATTCTTGCATTTATATGTAATTATTCCCTGTTGTTCTAAAGCTTCCATCTGGAGGAAGGAAATCTGTTCTGCTCCTGACCTTTTCAGGCCTCATGTCACTGTATTTAGCTGTAACAGATGGATTCTACCAACCTGATATGAAGATAGAAATAAAAGACTGAAACCACCAGAACAGTGGAAAAATATAGAATCATTAAAGCCTTGAGTCATTGCTAACAGCAGGTCACTGGGTGTATCTTCACTGGATTCATGGGTCGTTGAACATGCCTCACAGTTTGTTCCTGCCCTAAACTGCAAAGGAATTAAAAAGACTCTATTAAAGAGGTGACTGGCACTACCTTCCTCTAATACACACATTGGTGAGAGCAGGAAGAACTGCTAACACAAACTCTACCTCCAAGGTCATGACTACTCCTAACAGACAGCTATAGCCTACAATCAGTACCAGCCCTGAGCAACATTCTGATCTACCTTGGAGGAGCAAGAGCAACTGCTGTAAGTGGTGCAGATTTCTGCATAAAAGTGGAATTCTTCCTATCTGTGCATGTTTTTAATTCCTGTTATTGGCCAGACCAGGTGAATCAACCATAACCTTCTTGCAGATTCATACACAAAACACTTCAATAAAGGGGTTTATTCTTCATTTAAAAAAAGGAAAAATTATGATAATCAACATGGAATTAAGAACTCAGAGGAACAATACACACATGAACTAGCCAGTCATAAAGAAAGGAAGCAACAGCTTCCTTGGGCATGTATTTTATGCTTAAGGAGCAAACTGGTGAAGAAACTTTTCTGAATCTTATAAATGGAAAGCAACTGAGAGAAAACCTGATTCTCTGTCCTTGCTTCAATTCACTTCATCAACTTTATGAAGATAAACTGCAAGGCAGGATGACTAGATTGATGTATGCTGCAGTTTAACATAACTGTACACAGTTTGGAGTAAGCTACAGCAGCATGAATATCTGGGCATATTCCCAGAACTGTACAGAGCACAGGGAAATAGCTTGTAAAACAGCCTTGTCCCCTCCACATACCCATCTTAAGATTCCCGAATTACACATTTTAGGCTACTTAATGTGCTGCATCTGTGGATATAATAAAACAGGGAGATAAAGAGAGATTTCTGCCTAAAAAATCCCCAGCATTACCTTCACGGTGTTCTGCATTTTATAACTTTCCATCATTTGAAACTTCCCAGCACAGCTTCACCTTTGCAGAACGGCACTTTAAGAGGTTAAAAACGTACGTTTGGTGTGCACATTTCTTCAATAACTGGTATGTATGTTACAATGTGAACAGCAAATCAAATTTTTCAGCAGGCAACAGAAACCAAATCACCTTCTCAACACATGCATTCCTGAAACCTGCTGAGGATCTCCATATTTTATGACTGCGGACATCGAATCAAACTACATATGAAGACAGAGGACAAAATGCAGGAAATTATGAACTGGGATAACCAAATGGGTAATTGGCATTTTTTGTATTACCAAAATCATAACACTCCCATTGGACCCATCTGGCAAAAAGTCTGTGCTACTGTCACTGTCATCAAATACCCCAAACCAGCCAACATTACTAAAAGAAGGCTAAAATCCTTTTAGACCACAGGACATTAGTAATAAAGCAAGCATTCTGCTTCATGCTCTTTGACTAGCAACGAAATAGCTCAACATAAGACAAGGAAAACTACTTTTCCCAAAAAAACCCTATCAATCAAAAGAAACAAATATCCCCCCTGGAAATTACCTTGTAGGCTTGCACCGAGCCAGCAACTATCCTGCATGCCAAGTTCTTTTTAAGATGATAAAATAAGATGTACACTACAGAGCCAGAAAGCAGATCAGGCAGGATATTGACTGACGTGATTCATTATGTTTTCTGGTTTCATTTTCTCCTGAAAAAAAATGCCTGTCTCACCATTACCTTCCTATTTTAATATTAATCTCTTTTGAAAGACAGGAATACTGTCTTAATAAACCATGTAACATAACATTTAGGTCTCCCTATTGGGAACATCTGGCTGCTATAATACTTGTCCTCATTAAAAAATAACTTTTATTAAAATATTGGAATAGAATTAAACTTCAGTTGTCCTTGCTCTCATAAAGTATAACTGCTCCTCAGCTGAAAGTTCAGATTTTATAGTTCCAATTCTGATGAATACAGCAGAAGAGGGTTTGTTTGCTCCAGAGCTGAATTTGAGTTGTCTTTTGGATTAGAGATAAGGGCAAATTAATAAAATAATATTAATTTTTAAGTGTTTGACATCATTAATAAGGATGCAACTGTTTCCTGTTACAGTCTTCCTGTTTAAAAAGCCCCTAACACACCCTATCATTAAATTATGGCTACAGCTATCAAATGATTTCCCTTATTGCTTCCTGTCTTTAATATTATTGAGCGTTATTAACTAGTTGTCCATAATTATCAAACTATTACCAGTGATTTCATTCCATAGAGGCCAAAGCAATTTCTGCATGTAGTGACTTTTATGTACAAAGGGAACAGTTAAATACATCAGCTTAAACTGAGAAGTTCAAAATCTAGCTGACATCTGAAACACAGAACATGGTCTGAAGATTAGATTAATCTTAAAGAAATCTAGTAAATTATTTCAAACTTGATCAGTCTAATGCTTTCTGCCATTTCTGGGTAAAACATTTTGAAATCCAGAGTTATTTATGTAATGGTCAGCAAGGGTTTATGTTTTAAGGGTTATTTTCTCAGTTAACATAAACTAGCGTAACTCTGCTGAAGTCAAAGTGCTATTGATTAACTAAGTGAAGATATCTATTTGAAAAAGCCAATTCCCCAATATGCTGATGATCTGATTTTACACTCACCACCTGTCAAAACACCTAAACCTGGCCACCAATCAAAAGCATGTGGCCACATATGAATATGGTCAGTGTGCTACCAAGACACAGGTGAGGACAAAGGAAAACTTCATTTACTCTGGTTTTCTTGTGGTTTTAAGAAAATACCTTTACTACAGTGGGGACAAAATAAAATTTTAAACATGTTCTAAGCCTTTTTTTTTTGGTGATTGTGGAAGCATTTTGTGTTTTCTGAGGGTTATCAGGGTGTTTTGATTGAGATATTTAATGTATATTAATAATATGGAACAGGTTTGGAACACAGAAGTAGAAAAGATTTTATTTATGGAACACTCTGCACTTACTCGTGTTTCTTTTCAGATCTGGACTGCTCAGTGCCTGGTTTCTGGAACCAATACTATTTCTGCACCACTGCCTAAGGTTTATTTGGGGAGGGAGGGGGGAAGCACTGCTAATGATCTCCCAGAGATAAACTAAATTGCTGATTTAGTCAAGCTCATTCTTGACCTTGACACAAGATAGGACAGGCAAAGGGAAGAGCTCAAAATAGAGCAAGTGAAAGAAAGGAAGATCAAACGAATGCTCAGGTCTGGCCAAGAACCCCCCTACATTCAGCTAACACCTGGCTGAGTTAGAAAACATGACCAGCCCAACCTTCCTGTTGGAGCCGATTGAAGCTGTCAGCTCCCGGCTTGTCACCCACTGCATCAGGAGGCCCCTGGGCTGCCACAAGAGCCCTAATTAGGCAGAAATGGCACTTGGGCAACTGACCCGCCAGGACCTTTGGCAAAGCATTTAACATCATTAGTTAACATTTTTATTAAAAAAAGTGTGAATGTAAATGAACAGCCAATGCATTTCAATAGGGTCTGTCGGTGGCATCGCCCCCCCACCCTCCCAACCACACACACACTTTTTTGCATGAATAGTTCACTTGTTTTCTCTAAAGGGGGATGGGGATGTAGAGAATGTTTTTCCAAGGGAACTAGACACGTTCAAAGCAGAAGGAAGGTCTAAAACAATCGCACACAAACTCTTGCCTTTTGGGGAGGGTGGTGGGGAGCGAACAAACAACTAAATGCAATCTTACCTGTACCACACCTAAGGGGACATCTGAAAAGGAAAGTTTGCAGAACCCACACTGGAACAGAGATACACAATCACATATTCACCTGATTGTTCTAAGTGTACTCATTGTATTTGTGTTCTTTTCTGCCACATCCAAGAACAGATAACTAATCCGGTAAGGCTGCAACCCTTTGCCAGAGCTATCAAATGGTACAGCAATGTAAAAGGATGAACATCTAAGAATACTCTGTCCTCTTCTTTTGTATAATTTCTTTAATCTTTGCACAATACCTTTGACAGAAGATTATAAAAAAATACCACTCAGGCATGTTACTGACCTACCTCAAATAACTCTCCACTGGCAGGAATTTATGTGTGAAAAGGGGTTCATTCATACAGAAGAGAATGCAGCCTTGAGACACTTTATTAGTACTCAATTTTTCTGCAGGTACTTTAACTGAGGAGTTTCTGTAATTTATCAATATTTGACTAAAATCCTGGCACAGGTTTTTCTAGATGAGAGACACAAGAAAACATAATAATTACAAACATATTTTTTAATAAAGAACTGGATAGGACTTGGAAGGGTGTCCAGTGCTCAGCCATTTTATGTCCACTTCCCACGAACATGCCCTAGTCCATGCTCCTTTTATTTCCTTTGAACCCATTAGCTTCTTCTTCCTCCACTGGGGCTGTCTCCTGGATAAAGACTATCTTACCTTAGGTTCTGGAATTTGCTCCCTCCATCTCTAACAGACGTATGTTACCAACAATACTTGTTCCACCAAAGAAAAGACTTTTCCTTTGCTAGGAAATCATTTTATTACATTGTAGCTGCACAGACTATCACTTATGCCTTCTAAAATATAGCAAAACAGTATAGATTAAAAGAGATCTTCCACATAAGGTACTTGGGATGAAGGTGATGAAGATGTCAGTTCAAAACCCAACTCATCAGACTTGCTCTGCAGCCGATGGAAGGTTATCCTGTTTCTCAGATCCATGTGTTAGAAACTGAAATAACAGTATTGTTATTTTCTCACACACTGGAATACCCAGAGGTTCGGGTCCCTGTTTCCAAGCCACATAAATGCTGTACCAGGAAAGCAAAAAACCAAACCAAAACAAAAAAACAACCCCAAACTTGGCTCTGCAGCTTTTTCCTGAGTAGTTCAGTTTGTTAAGTAAGCCAATCTTCTCTTTCAACCCCGACCTCAGTACAAAGGGAGAAGCACTGCGTTTCCATACATCACCTGAGAGGGAAAACCAGAAGACCATACCTTCAGACTACATCAGATGCCTCACGAATCTCCTGTTCTGTGATTGATATGCAGCAAAGTTTGTGTCCAAAACATTTGAGTAAGGCCACACCAGGACATAACTCTGTCCCACAGTGCAGCTGCAACCAGTGTTGTCCTCTTTAGCTTCTCCGCAGGAAACTTCTGTCTTATCTTTGTGCTCAGCCTAGTATAAAAAAAGTCTGACTGCAACTCCAAGACCTCTGCACTAATAATATGCACACACAATAAGAAGATTTGTACATGCAGAAAGAACAAAAAGAATGTTACACATGTGCATGGTACACACGAATATGTTCAGACACAAAAGGACTGCATGTTCACAGGACGGGTAAAACCTTCTCCTTTGCAAGTGCTTTGGGATCTAGGGACGATGCCATGAAA